AACAAAGAAACAAAAACATTGTGTTATTAACTGAATGAACTGAGGGCTGCATCGGGTCCGATAGACTGTACCAAACAGTAGAGGGCGTCAACCTACGGATCTTGCTTCCCGTTAGCCCGTAAAGCTGCAATAACCAAGCCTTGACATTGCAAAGATGGAGGCTGTTATAGTTTAGACCAGGATATACAGAAAGCACAAACTGCGAGTTTCAGAGCTCTGTTATGACATCATTTCCAGCTGGTCAAGGTAAATGGAAAAAAGTAGCTGAGCTATCCGCTTAGTAAACATTAGCGTCCTTGCAAAGTTGGATAGTTAGCTAGCACAAATGACAGCCAGCTAATCTAGCTAATGTCAACGAATAGGCTAGCGTAGTGAGCATTAGCTGAGCTAGCTAGCAAGCAACATCGGATCTACTGCAGTGTAGTTTGGGATAATCGATAAGTTATCGCAAGCGGTTTTTATTACCGTTAGTTTCTTGACTTGTTCATAGAGACAACGAAGTCGTTAATTTCATATAATGTCATCTACAATATGAGGAAGATGTTTTGATGTCAATGCTAGCCATCGTTAGCAATCTGCTCGTTTTCAGAACCGTTTCCTGGTTATTCCTCGGCTTGTTATTACCGAGCCGAAGTGTAGGGCACAAATGTTTCGTTCCTGTTGTTAGTTTAAGGCTTCAGTACAAAACAAAACCCGCATCCAACCTTTGCAATGCTGGCCGTAATACTTTTTGTTTTCTCTTACCGGAGAGAACGTAACATTAGCCAAAACATGACATATCTAGGCTGTTTGGATCTTTTTTCCTGTCACGGCACATATCAAGAAGTACGACAATAGACTCCTTATAAGGTTTTGCTGTAGTCTTTTTTTTTTTTTTAAAAGAACTAACCCGCAGTTAGTCCACACTCATTTTACTTTCACTAATACGTGTTTTGTTGTAGCTAACAAAACATTTAATTACAAATTCCAAAATGTGTGAACTACGCATTTTCATTGGTTGGTCAACTTGTTTGACAAACCAGTCAAACAAGTTAAAGCTGAAAAACTGCTGTGGTGGTCAAGACCTAAACAGTGAAAGAGGTGTGACCATTTCTCTGTTTGCAATGTAACAGCAGTTCACAAGTAGCACGACTGTATCCACGCTGGTATTATAGTTTGGACAAGTAGCCGATTGGTAGTGTGCCTAACTTTCCGTATTAAGCTTCCCTCTGGATTTGTGTGTCTGCAGGTGGAGGCAGGAGGTGTGAGTAGAGTACAGTAGACATCAGCAGCATGTACTCCGAGTGGCGCTCGTTGCAGTTGGTGGTGCAGAGTGACCAGGGCCACCTAAGTGTTTTGCACACCTATCCCCCAAGTGTGGGCACAGAGGTGGCAAATGCTGTGGTCAAACCTCTGGGCACAGCTGTAAGCCCAGTTGCCACAGAGAACATCCTCAAAACAGACAAAGAGGTAAGAGAAGGGTCAACTACGAGCATGTCATTTTAATGCTTTGGTAGTCTGCCGGCCTACATCTCTATCACCATGACATTTTAACTCCAGTTACCAGAGCTAAGTAAACACATGAGTACTTTTAGTGGTATCAGTGTGCTGTTGTTTTTTTGCTGATGATTATTTACGTAGAAAAATAGAAATTAGAACATACCGTGGTCCATATATTTTTGTATGTGTGGCTCTTTAGGAGAGTGTGGGAAAAACTGGTCTAAGATTATCCACTTAAATATGTAGCACCAACTACATTCATAGGTGATGAAAAGTGTAGCACATGATAATAAAGTAATTATGGGGTTTGGGTCACCATATTTAAAATAAAGGTTCTAAATACATTTTTATATCATTATCAGAATCTGGACTCCCTCTTTTTGTTTTCTTCATCTTCCACTATCATTCTGTTGCTGATGTTGCTGCACAGTGCTCAGCAAGGGTGCCAGGACTATCTGTTTTGTAGCTACTCTTGCATATGCAGGCCTGACTGATAGAAGAAACCATCTAAGTAACACTCTATCTGTTGCTTCTATTAAATGGTTGATGTTTTTGAACACATCAAGTGCACATTATGCAAGAAATGAGAAGAAAGTACTCTGCAAATAATAGTTTTTATATGACAAAACAACAAAGCACACACAATTAATCCTGTAATGTACAGTATTCGTGACACCTTAAGCTTTTGTGTAGGCTCTAGACACAACTTGACACGGGCCAATTTAAACAGTTAGCTATAAATGTAAACCAGATACAGCTCTGATCTCTTTCTTTGCATGATCCCCATAAACACTGGAACGTCTGCTGACACACACCACTGTGAGAAAGTTAATGGCAGAGCTCACAGTAAAGCAGCTGCTTCAATTAATGATGTGACAGCGTGTGTCAGGAAGTGATGCAAGTAGAGCTGCCTTGGGTTAAAAATACATCAGCATTACTCAGGTGCACCATGCATCTGAAGTGCTGCTGTTGCTTTGAATGCCGCTTCTTGCTGAGGGTAGAGCATGGATAGGAATACTTAGCCATACTGACCTCTGCAGGATTCTTACACAAAACCATTGTGGGAAATTATGCAAAATATCACTGGAAACTGACTGAATACTTGCTAAGTATGCAGGTTTATGTTGGGTGGGGGCGGGGGCATATTTTGATTGTATTTGTAGGATACAAGGAGCTTTTCTAAACGTAAAAACTGTCGCCATTCTTCCTCATTTCATTAGGATTGGGTGATGTAGCTTCTCTGCAAATATAAGATAATTACTTATAATAAAATATCTAACAATGGTTTGGTTCCCAGGTGAAATGGACTATGGAGGTGCTCTGTTATGGCCTGACCCTCCCCTTAGAGGGGGACACTGTCAAGCTGTGTGTGGACGTGTACACAGACTGGATGATGGCCCTGGTGTCGCCTAGGGACTCGATGCCTCAGCCTGTGGTGAAGGAGCCCAACATGTATGTCCAGACTATTCTAAAGCATCTCTACAACGTCTTTGTACCAAGGTATGTCTAAAAACTTTATTTCCCATTAGCTTGAATTTAAGGATGAATGCCTTTTCACTAAAATCTTGGACTGCTTATATTGCTTTCATGTTCCCTCATTTCAAACAAGCTGTTTCTCCCTCCAGGCCTGAGCAGCATAGTCTGAACCACATCAGGCTTTGCCAGCAGGTTCTGACTGCAGTCCAGAAGCTGGCACGAGAGTCCGTTTCCATGGTGAGAGAGACCTGGGAGGTGCTGCTGCTCTTCCTTCTTCGCATCAATGACACCTTGCTCGCACCGCCCACAGTTGGAGGTAAACAACCCTTGCTCTCCTAAACTTTTCCTTCGTTATCTACTTGGTTATTATTTGTGATGATTAGTTATAATACCCCCCTATTTTTCCCTTTTTCAGTGGGGGTAGCTGAGAAGCTGGCAGAGAAACTGATGGCAGTGTTGTTTGAGGTGTGGCTGCTGGCGTGTGCCCGCTGCTTTCCTACGCCGCCATATTGGAAGACAGCAAGGGAGATGCTGGCCAATTGGAGACATCATCCTCCTGTTGTAGAGCAGTGGAGCAGAGTAGCCTGTGCTTTGACCTCCAGGTTAGATTGGATTCAGTTCAACCTTTTGTGTTTTCAGTGGTAAAAGATTTTGTTAGAATTATGATATCTATATGTAGTTAGGTCCACAGGTTGTTGGACAGTGACAGTTTTTGGAGAGACTGCCTTCTTCAATGGAGAAGGCAGTCTCTCCATCTCAGACCAATAGAGCATGCTTTGCAGTTACTGAAGGCAAAGAAATTCACAAACAAGCAGCAACTGAAAGTGGCTGCATTAAAAGCCCAGTAGAACATCTCAAGGGATGAAATGTGGTTTGGTTTTTCGAGGTCTCTGTTAATGTAGTCTGTGTATTCCTGTCTCATTTCTTCGTTTCAGACTCCTGCGGTTTACTCATGGACCATCCTTCCCACCTTTTAAAGTTCCCGATGAGGATGCCAATTTGATTCCTTTAGAGATGGACAATGATTGCGTGGCCCAGACGTGGTACCGCTTTCTACACATGCTCAGGTGCTTATTGCCTCAACTGTATAAAAATGCCTTTGCTTGAAAAAGACATGTTCTTTCCTCTTTCTAAACGACATACATGGTGTTTGTTTGTTTGTTTTATTTAAGGGGAAGTTAAAGTTGCCTATCTGCTCTAGTTCAAGTCTATTTAACTGCATCCAAACTTTCATGTCTGGCTTTTTTTAATGTTATTTCATTTGTCGTTCCCTCCTTTATTTCCTTTTACTTCCTTCGTCTACCCAACCTTATGTCACATTTATTCAAGAAAGATTTAGCAACATTTGGCTTAATCCATTATTACGTTTACTTTCCTTTTTGTTTCCAGCAACCCAGTGGACCTGAGCAACCCCGCAGTAGTAAGCACCACTCCAAAGTTTCAGGAACAGTTTCTCAATTCGAGCGGCATACCCCATGAAGTGGTGTTGCATCCATGTTTGAAACAACTACCCCAGATCTTCTTCAGGGCCATGAGGGGTGTCAGCTGCTTGGTGGATGCCTTCTTGGGTAAGAGGAATCCTGAGTTAAGATGAAAAGCTCAGTTGAGTGATATTTAAGACATTCAAAATGAAGCAGAGGATATACTTAAGGGATGAATGATAAAGCAACTTCAGCTTGGAGACCATTTTTGCAATCCATTATTTAATGGATTATGTTTAAGAAATATGCTGTTCCTGCTTTTGTGGCAGCTACCTGCTTTAGGAATTTATCCCCACATGTTATTGTTGCCAGAAATTATTTGAGAAACTGCTGCAAAAGAAAGCGTTACTTTGACAGAAGTGTAAGCAGCTGGTTTTTATTGTGATCTGTTTGGCAAAAAGTTTAAGTTGCTCTAAATTCAATTTCATCCTGTAATCGTAATCTGTAGAATCTTGTCTTTAACAAACAGTAAAGCCAAACACTTCTGATGGGTTTTATAGCGTAGATGGAAATTTGTGTTATTTGTGATTTATAGAGAGAAAAAGATTTAAAATGTATTTTTTTTTTGCCAGTGTTGTTCTCTTACTACCTCTGAGTAATCTCAAGATGGAGGATGTCAGTCAGTAATACCTGTTTAAAGATTTCAATAGAAACATACCCGTGTGTATTTTTCTCTTTACACTGTAGGTGTCTCTGTTGAAAAGAAAGCTGTACGGGAGAGGGTGTTCACTTTTTGTCCAGTGCCGCTCTCTCATGGTACAGACATCAGCTGATACGATATAATGTTTTGCTCTGGGCATGTTAGTGGATTGGTCCATTCACTGTTGGTGATGATACTCAGACTCACAAGTGATATATGTCAGATATTCAGACTAAACTACAAGATCATCAGGGGGGACTCCTGCAGGCATGAAAATGGAAAATCAAAATGGAAATCAGTGATTGGTGATTTGTATCTAACTATTGTCTTGCATGTCTATGAATCAATGCTGTCTATGATCAACTCACATACATTAAATAATACTGTAAATGGAAAACGGCTTCAAAATTATTATATTTACCCAAAACATGGTCTGTTCCCTGGGGGGGAAAACAATGGTTGCTGATTTATTTTTTTTATTTTTTTTGCTGCCAGGCTAATCAGATGACACCGCCTCACCCCCAGATTTCTGAGGAAAATTGGACTATTATACCCCGACTCATTTTACTTTTCTGTCACCAGGCATATCACGTCCCAGGGCTGACAGTGCCCCGCCCACTCCAGTCAACAGAATTAGCATGTCGCCGCCGCCCTCAATCACCAACACCACGCCTCCTCATAGCCGCAAGCAGCGCCACACGGTGGTCACCAAAACTACAAGCAAGAGCTCAGCTGTAAGTTCTGTAACTGCTACAGAGATGCAGAACAATAAGTGTAACTGTTAGATGTTTAGATCTTAGCTTTCTGTTGGTCTGCAGACAGAAAAGAATTAAATACTTGAACTTGGCACATTATTCTTTCCATGCTGAAGCTGCAGTATCTATCTATCTTTGTAGGCAGTATTTCAGTACACTTGTTCAAATCTTGTGATCTTTTACTTGAACTAGTCAAGCTGTTTTCAGCCTATTGAGATATCTTCTTCTATTCCCACCGCACCCTGTAGGGCAGTGGTGGTCAGCCAAACAAAACATCGCAGCAGCAACAGCAGCAGCAGCAGCAGCAGACTTCATCCTCCCCGACCCTTCTTTCCAGCCCCAACCAGAGCAGTTGGGAGTCTCGGCCCCTGCCAGCCCCAGCACGACCGAAGGTCAACAGCATCCTCAACCTGTTTGGCCAGTGGCTTTTCGACGCTGCTCTCGTCCACTGTAAGCTCCACAGCGGCCTCAGCCGAGACCCCAGCATGACGGGTAAGAAGCGAAGCGACGTCTCACGCTGTTTAAAATTATGCATGGGCAAGTCGGTGTTCATAAGTATGTGTTCATATGGAGTTCTGTGTTTTTTGGTCTTTATTATTATTTTTTTTTTATTTAATTTTTTGAAAAATTTGTACTCTGTTGTTGGGATATCTTTTTTGTTTTTTCACCATTTTCTCTGAAACTCTGTTGGGCCTTTCTGTGTGTGGAGGGCTTGGTTAGAAGTGGCCTCGTATGAGATTTCCAGCTGACTCTAATCCATTTGCATCGACCAACAATTTAGACCTGGCTCAAACTACATATAGGCTTTAACCCTATCCTAAGGAATTCATACAGTCATTTAATTGGTACAATCATTACTGGCAGCGGCGCTAAGAGTTAATGACAGCACATACACTTTTTAGCGCTTGCAATTGGCCCTCTTTGGTTCTTCTCACATTTCTCTTTTTGGTGTAGTGTCCTGCACGTGTCTATCATGTCTGATTAATGTAAGAAATTTGTAATGGTCAGAAGTCATGAGCAAAAAAGAAAAACCACACAATTCATGCTTGATATGAATTGATCCCAAAATATTGGATCTGCTTTGATTTTTTTTTCTCTCTCCACTATTTCTGTTATCTTGCAGCCTCTTTTATCCAAATTCTCCTTTCTTATAAATCTTGTAAGTAGGAATGGCAGCTTTTTTTCCCCCTCACTTGATTTGCGTTTCTTGACAAAATCTTCTTGCTTTTGAGTTGAGTTCCTCATGGTCATCGTCATCATCACCATCGTTTTCTGTTCCAACTCCTCGCCATATATAAAAGTTCACCAGCATTCTTTCAGCATTTCTCCAGAGGTTGATGGAATGGGTTTCACCAAACTGACCACTTGTCTCGACATTAACGTTGCCAGTTTGTGACAGTACCACCCCATTTAAGTTGCCATTTTCTTTTTCCTTTGAGTCACGCTAATCCGTACTATTGTGTTTCAGACTCCCCTCGAGTTTAGCATTGTTTCTTGTATTTTCTTTTTGATGTTGTCAGTTCACTTCAGTTTTGAATTATATATTTTTTTATTGGTTTAGTGCCTCAATGCATGAAGTGAATGTGACAGTCATATGATTGCAGCATTGAGGGATGCTGACACAGGGATTTTGCTTTATGTTCCTGCAGCAGTGAACGCCTGACACGTTTTTAGTACGAGCACACTACAACTTATTCATGCTTTGTGCCGGTGATAGGCAGAACTTCTATGGCAAACTCTTTGTGTCAGAGTTCCCTTTATTGAATGCTTTTATTAAAGGATGTGAGTGTGTGTTTGCAGTTAATAAAGCCCTTCCTTTCTCTTGTTGTGATAGTGAGTTAATATCTGCTTTTTGTTGCTTTTATGTTTTTGAATTTTTACTGTTAACTTTTCGTTCTAGTGTGCATATAGTATATTTTTGTCTGCTTTTGCCTGTTTTGTCATACATGCATGAAAACTGAGGACTGCAATGCAATTCAGGGTTCTTTCATTCTTTTTTTTCACACTTTGTACAGCGATAGCCACTCAAGTGTCCTTGGAGCTGAGGAGGAAGGGTTCCCAAATGTCCACTGACTCCATGGTGAACAACCCAATGTTTGATGCCAATGAGTTCCCAGAGAGCTATGAAGCAGGACGGGCTGAGGCCTGTGGGACTCTGTGTCGCATCTTCTGTAGCAAAAAAACTGGAGAGGAGATTCTACCAGTTTACCTGTCGAGGTATATACTTTTTTTTTGCCAAATTTATCTGGTTTTGTTGCCATCTTCTTAACAGTAGGAAAGAAAATGATATGGTTTTCTTATTTCCTTTTCTGCAGGTTCTACATGGTCCTGATTCAGGGTCTGCAGATTTCTGATTTCATCTGTAGACCAGTTTTGGCTTCTATCATTCTCAACTCTTCCTCTCTCTTCTGTACTGACCTAAAGGGCATCAATGTGGTGGTGCCCTACTTCATAGCTGCGCTGGAGACCATTGTGCCAGACAGGTTAGACTGGTAGTTTACTTTCATTTGAGACCATTATTTGTTTTTACTCAGTCATGTAAATGTGTTATGTTAGAAATCAATTATATTACTTAAAGCATGTCTCCATTATTTTTGTTAGGGAACTGTCCAAATTTAAGATGTATGTAAATCCTACTGATCTGAGGAGAGCCTCCATCAACATCCTGCTTGCTATGCTCCCACTGCCACATCACTTTGGCAACATCAAATCAGAGGTAATGACTTTGGCGATGTTTATCTTTAAGCTGATAGTAACAGTCTTGCTTACTGCTGTGATGCCACTGATTTCCTGTGTATTGTACACACATCGGTAGCTCTTTCTTCAAATATTAAACTCTTTAAAACCTGTTGATGATTACATAACCATAAAACAAGCCCTTTTCTTGTTGTAGAGTTTAAAGTTAATCAAGGTTGCTAACCACACTGACTCTGTGTTCTTTAGGTTCTGTTGGAGGGAAAATTCAACGAGGAAGACGGCTGGCCTCATGACCAGCCTGTGTCTTTCCTTTCACTGAGGCTCCGTCTTGTCAATGTCCTCATAGGAGCTCTGCAGACAGAGACTGACCCCACCAACACACAGCTCATACTGGGTATTTGCTGATAGCTTCATATATTTGATTGCAGTTATTTTAACTCTGTATATTGTTTGTACTTTATGATTGTGTAAAATTGTTGTTTTTTTTTTGTTTAATTATTATTTTTTATCCCTTTTTTCAGGTGCAATGCTAAATATTGTTCAAGACTCAGCTTTATTAGAGTCCATAGGCGCCCAGACTGAAACAGTAAGCTTTCTGCTAATTAGTTAATGTTTACGGTGCTACAAGCTGGACTGGGCATTAAGATTTCTGTGTTTTTCGGTGGCAGGGGAGCATAGATGGCAGCCACTCAACCCTGAGGACTCAGGGTCACAGCCGTACCAACAGTGGCATCAGCTTCAACAGTGGAGGCAGCACGGAGGCCACCAGCCCAGACTCTGAACGCCCTGCACAGGCGCTTCTCCGTGACTATGGTAGGACATGCCGCTCCTGAACATACACTAATATTTTTGTGCTTAATGAATTAACACAATAATACTTTATTTGGTCAGATAGCAGGTTTGCTGTAAGATTATTTTTAATGATCCCTGGCTGATTTCTCATTAGCTTCCAGCTCCTGTTGACTCGTTTGTGTTTTTTTTTATAGCTAACGTGGTTAAAGTGGTATGCAGAGTTAAGAAGCGTTGGGTAAAATATCTTTGTAGGTGATGTAAAGTGTTTGCTGTGATGTTGTTTAAGAAGAATTTGGGATTGGGGTGGGTGGAGTTTCTGCTTTGATTTGCATTTGTTTTCTCTTAATGATTGGTTGCAACAATGTTGCCTAATAAGATGGATTTCAAATGTAGTATTTACTGTGCAGGGCTGAGTGATGTTTTGTTTTCATTTGATTGTTTTCTTTTTTGCACAAATTTATGTCTGTTTTCAGTGAACAGTGCTTCACATAGGCAGTCGTTTTCCAGCAGGAAACTGGGGGAAGGGATTGCTTGGTTCCTGTGAGACACATCTGTAGGACTATAGCATTGTGTTGTGAGGCTTAGTACAGGAAAAGCAATGCTTTAGAGTGAGTCATCTGTTGTTATAAATGCTGCAGCCATTTCAGTGTTATTTGGGTTTTCTAGTCATTTTCTGTTCTGGTCCGCTCATTTAATTTCTTAACATTATCTCTTAAAAAAACACTTGACGGTGCAGAGTTCTTTGTAACAGAGGTTGTAGTAAAAAACTGAAGTAAAGAAGATTGTTGTTGTGTCACATACCTAACACAAGGTTGTGTTGCTTCCACTTGAAAAATTTCTTTTCTGGGACAAAGGTGTCCAGATAGTGGACTATACATTGTTGTTGAAAATCAGTCTTAGGACTCTTTGTTTTCAAAGTTTTTAGCCCCTGTAAATAGTAGCTCAAACTAGGAAAGTCTTTTGTCAGATGAACTGGAATTTTCCTTCCACTTACATATATTTAATGTAATTGGGTGATAAATGTTAAGTAATTTTTAAAAATTTCAGTGTTCCTCTGTTTTTAAAAAAAGTCTCCTAATTATTTGTTAAAATAAAATTTGAAAATGCTATTTTGATGTAAAAATGCTAACATCACTCAGTTCTGTTCCTCAGCAGCTTGTTTACTGCTGTCTCTTCTTTACTCTGCCTGTATTTTGCTCAGGATTGTGTGCTTTGCTGTATTCTTTCACCTCTAATGCATGTTGTATGTTAATATAAAGCAATATCTGCTAACACCTGAGCATTCAGAAATGTCTTTCTGTGTGACTTTCTAGCTTTGGTGCCTTAATCCTGCATTGCTCTATTCTTTGCAGTGTTTGGTATTTTGGGGTGTTATATGATCTAGCTCTTCCAGATACTGCGGCAGGCCTGCTGGTGCGCAGCATCCACCTGGTCACTCAGAGGCTCAACTCCCAGTGGAGGCAAGACATGAGCATTTCACTCGCTGCCCTGGAACTGCTGGCTGGACTGGCCAAGGTAACTTGAACACCATAGAAGCTCAGTGTAAGAATGTGCAGTCATTACTAGCTGGACTAGCTAAGATAAAACTGCGGTGTTCCAGTACACCAATGTTACTCAGGTCTCAACAGCTTTAGTTACTGTAGTCTTTAAAAAAAAAAAAAAAAAAACAACTTAAAAAAATCAATTAAAAAAAAAGTTTTTGAAAGAGCTCTATTCCAGGAACACTCTTAATAAAATGTCTGGGCCTATTATGGGGGCAAGCGAAACCAGCTGCGTGTAGGGCGTGCTAACTTATACCGATAGTTATTACACCCCATTACCAAATGACACAGTGCAGCTTCACAGAGGACTTGTGATACATTTGGGTGTTTTTTGCCACCTTCAGTCAGTTAATTTCCTAGCTCAGAATAAGGGAGTTGCCCTCACATTGTACCACAGATTACTGTAAAGAGAGTTTCTCTAACTTGTAATGACTGTGGAGTTTGTGTTTGCAATCACACTGCCAAAATGCATGAGCAATTAATATGTCAATATTCTACTTGATACAGAATTCCGAGTATAGAAAAGACAATATTCTTGTCTTTTGGCACAACCCAGTTTCATTGTTGCACTTTTTTGTTGCACTGTTGTGTCTGCACTGTCTTGTGCTTGTATCATTCTGTTCTGTCTGGTGTTGCACTGTTTTTGCTTTGTTTTGTCTTTTTGTTTTTGCAACTTTTGCCATTTTTTGCACACTTGCACTTTATTTAGTCATGTGTTGAATACCTGTTATATGTAGCACCAGAGTCTTGGAGGAACATTGTCTCGCTTCACTGTGTAATGTACCACTGCACATGGTTGAAATTACAATAAAGCAACTTGACTTGACTGTTCCTTTACATACTTTTCTACTCATAATCAAATATGTTGTCATTTTGAAAAAAAAGGGCAACATTTTTAAACCAAGTTTTTTTCACAGTTGCATAAAACAAACCACTTTTAAAATGTATCTAATATAGAATTTTTTTTCCTGTGTCTTTGTGTATGTCTTAATCAGGTGAAGGTGGGGGTCGACTCTGCAGACCGTAAACGTGCTGTCAGCTCGATATGTGGTTACATTGTGTTCCAGTGTAGCCGTCCAGCTCCTCTTCAATCCAGAGACCTCCACTCCATGATTGTAGCTGCCTTCCAGTTTCTGTGTGTGTGGCTCACAGAACACCCTGACATGTTGGATGAGAAAGTAAGTCTAAAGACCTTTTTCCCCTCTCTCTTTCATGTATGTCGGTAGGTAAGAGAAAATCTATATATTGTTTTGTATTTTCTTTTGCTCCAGGACTGTTTGGTTGAGGTTTTGGAAATTGTGGAGTTGGGAATCTCAGGCAGTAAGTCCCGTCAGGAGCAAGAGGTTCGACATAAAGGGGAGAAGGAGCACAACCCGGCTTCCATGAGAGTGAAGGATGCTGCCGAGGCAACTTTGTCCTGGTGAGACTAAAGCCCCTTTTTTCATTAGTACCTACTCCGGTCAGCTTGCCATGCTTTTCAGGGTTTTCCATTTGGTCATAGTACCTGGTGCCAGGTACTTTATTTAGCACCTACTCCGCCAGGCTTCCAAGCAATCGTATCCAAAAATGTGACATCAACGGACTGCATGCCACCAGTCAGTGGCATCACTTGATGAGTCATGAGAGCGTCTCATTCAGGAAAATACAAACCAAGCAACGAGGGGAACGGCTACAAAAACACAACGCTGTGGTCCCCAAGTCTGACAAAAAAGCCACAGACCGAGCACCAGGTATATCGTTGCCTCAACGCCCAGCTTTGTTGTAGCATTCATGTCACATACTAATTACGCCACAGGACGCTCGGCTACATTGCTATAACCACAACCAAGCACATTAGGTGGTATTGGATTGTAATGGAATGGGAGTCCGGTCAAGATCAGACTAGGTACTAATGGAAAATAGGCTTAAGCTCCATTGGCCGTTCAAACACTTTTCATTGTAAAATGGTTATGTTACCATTTCATCACCTGTATAAGTCTTGTGATGTGACCAGCAGTCTGCAGCAAACACCAGATTTCCTGCTGTGGGATCTCCTTATGTTTAAACTTAAACACTTGTATTGCACCTTGGCTTCTTGATAAGCTAGTAAAAGTATGTCTACTGTAAATTGTCCTTTGTTTGCTAGATAGGCTAGACAGATTGATATCACCTCCAGTGGCAGTCAATCACACAATAAATTTGTATATAACTTAAATTTAGCTACCTGTGACAAAGCACAGCCACAAAGTCAGCCACAGCCACAGACTGAGAATCTCAGCTGCACACAAAAACAGCTGCACAATGACTAAACTCTTCCTGTTTATAAAGGTCTATCAGAACTGGGTCCAAAAATGGAGTTTACTGAACAGTTTATAACAAAGTGTAAATAAAATCGCACTATTTTGCCCCAGATACTCATCCAGCAAACCTCTCGGCTGTGAGGGGAAACTCCCCACTCAGCATAGCCGTGGGTTGCGACTTGGCCAGTCAGCCAGCGAAATTCACCCCCATAGTGATGCTGATGACTTTTCCGTCATTAGTCTTGGTGATAACACTAAAGTGGATTGTGACTGATTCTTATAAACCAAGTAGGGTTTTTCTTCAAAATCTTTTATGACTGTGCTAAAGTGTTGTTGCTTCTGTTGTTTATTTTTCTGCTTCCTCAGCATCGTAGCTGGCCCACTTTTTCTGCTGAACCTTCATACACATGACTGTTGGATAGTGAAATATGTTGCATTCATTGACCCAGTTTGCTTGTATTTATGTTCTTTCTTATATTTGTGTTTCCCTGGTGCTCCCTAGTATCATGCAGGTGTTGGGGGCCTTCCCGTCTCCCAGTGGGCCTGCGTCTACTTGCAGCCTGCTGAATGAAGATACTTTGATTCGCTATGCCAGACTCAGTGCCACAGGAGCCAGTAACTTCCGTTACTTTGTCTTGGAAAACTCTGTCATCCTTGCAATGCTGGAGCAACCTCTTGGCAATGAGCAAAGTCAGTAGCTTATTGTCTCGCTTTAGTTGATATTTTTAGTTAATAAATTTGAATGCTGGGAGAAAACAAAGTGTCTGGTATGCTTTAAATATGGGTCTGTTTTTGTCCTCACAGACCCCAGTCCTTCTGTGACAGTTTTGATCCGGGGAACGGCTGGTCGACATGCTTGGACCATGCAGCTCTTCCATCAACCAAGAGGGGCCAGGGCTAATCAGAGGGTGAGATCGCACTCTAGATTAACACTAATTAAAGTTAACACATTTTAAGCTAACTTAGCTAAAACATATGCACCATTTTGTCAAACTTGTAGCACCACATCTGATAACACATCTCTGTTATATATCTGTTTTCTTCTCCCCTCCCGCAGCAGGTGTTTGTTCCTGAAGGCCGTCCAACACCCAACAATGATGTGGGGATTAAGTACAATGTGAAACAGAGGCCCTTCCCTGAGGAGGTGGATAAGATCCCTCTTGTCAAAGCTGATGTCAGTATCCCTGACCTGGATGACATTGTTAGTAAGGAGGTGAGAGATCAGCTTCCCGTCGAACCCTATAATTAAGCTTCTATCCACATTATGTCTGATAACACAAAAATTAAGTTATTCTCTTACAGGTATCGGGTAAACCATGATTTGTTATATCTTAAAGAGTATTGTTTGTTATTGCACAAACATAGGTGTCTTGTATGGGCTGGGAGGAAGATTCGAGAGCTTCAGATTCACTGAACAGAATTTGCCCTCGTGTGAGTTGTTGAAAACAGGAGGGCTCATTGGGTGTTGTGTTAAATAGGTCAAATCATCTGGTTTAGTGGTGATCATTTTGTGTGGTTTCTCAATCCTTTGCAGTTTCTCTGTGAAACTACTGGTGCTTCTCTAACACTGTCTCAACAAACTTTTATAAGGGCTGGAGAATGCAATCCAGTACAACAGCCCTTTAATAAACTAAAGGGCTGTTGTACTGGATTGCATTTGATGGTAAGGGTGATCCATTATTAAATGTTTCCCATGGTTATAAAGTACAGATGACACTGTCATAACGTTTCCTCTCACCTTTGGGGGTCAGTATCTGTTTGGACTGTGAGGGTTCTGCTTCAATTCATGTTGAGCTCATGCAGTCGACGACTGTTCACGAGGCCCACCTACCCTGTTTTAAAGATGTCCCGTCCCCATCTTTTCAGCTGGAAGTTCAGCACGACAAGCTTCGTAATCTGATGACCAAGCAGATAGAGTATGAGAACGCCTTGGAGCGACACAGTGAGGAAATCTGGAAGTCCACTCCTTTTCCTGACCCACAGACAGACTGCAAACCCCCTCCACCCTCACAGGAGTTCCAGACAGCACGTCTCTTCCTCTCCCACTTTGGCTTCTTGTCTCTGGAGGCACTTAAGGTCAGTTACTTTTTAATGTCAGATTACAAACTCTTTGATTGATCGGTATTAAATATACATGCTAATTGGTAGGTTTCCATTGTCTTTCTATTTAAAGCCTTTTTCACATAAACGATGGGTTGGTTCTTTTTGTTCTTTCTACTATTCCGTCAAAGTCGTGATGGAGATCTTAATATTTCTCATCTTGTAACATTTATGTATCACTTTAAATACGGCACAAGTTTGAGTGTATGTTATCGCATTAATGGATAGTATAGATCTTGAGTTGCTGAGATAATATGAAGACATGTTTGCAAGAATGTGCTAAACTGCTGTACATGAAAGAAAGATGGATGTCTAAAAGCTCTTTAATTTGAAAAAAGGTCATATTAAAAATCTGATCCTGACAAAAAATACTTAAATCTGTGAAATAAAATGTATTTGTTAGAATAATGTTTACATAACCCTTCACAGGAACCCAACAACAGTCGTCTACCTCCTCACCTGATTGCCCTGGAGTCATCCTTGCCAGGATTTTTTGATGACATCAGCTACCTGGACCTGCTTCCCTGCCGACCTTTTGACACAGTCTTTATTTTCTATGTGAAACCTGGACAGAAAAGCAGTCATGAGGTAAGGGAATACAGATTGATTGATTATTGTTTACCTTTACAATGTACTGATGTTAACTTAGTTACTTCTTCCAGTTACTTATTTATTTACACACATAAAGAGAAACAGGAAGAAGAAACTCTTTCATTATCTTGTTCTTGTTGGTGATCAGATCCTAAGGAATGTAGAGTCTTCGGCCAGCGTCCAGCCCCACTTCTTGGAGTTCCTGTTATCCTTGGGCTGGCCTGTGGACGTGGGACGCCACCCAGGCTGGACAGGACACTTGGACACCAGTTGGTCTGTGAATTACTGCTCTGATAGCAATGATGTGCAAGCAGGTAAGACACTAAGACGGTCATCGCAATTGTTATTTATCTGTTTATATGTTATTAGTAACTCAATGAATCTTTATTTGTTTTTCCAGAGGAAGCGGGTACACCGGAGGACACTGGTGGTTCGGTGTTCAACGGAGAGAAGAAAGTTTTGTACTATGCTGATGCTCTGACAGAAATCGCCTTTGTGGTTCCTTCTCTAACAGAACACTCAGGTCAGTATTCACGATCTTCAATATGAATTCAAAGATACTGAAAGCCTCTGTGCTGGATTGGAGTTGCAATTTGCTCTCATTTGGCAGAGGAGTCTTCAGTGCACAGTGACTCCACGGTGGAGGCAGACACCAACTCAGAACTCATGCCCGGTATGCTCAAACAACCCAATCTCACACTGGAACTGTTCCCCAACCATTCTGAAAGCATGGAGTCCGCTAAAAAGGTAGATTTCGGCTTCTGTGAGTATATGTGGCCTGTAATGTTTGATGTAATGCTTGATCAAAATGAATTTACCTGTTTTATCTAGCTGAGTCCTTTAGTGAAGGCAAAGAGGTCATCGACTGGAAAATCCTTCCCCCAACTGGGGCCTGAAACAAAGGCGTTTGTGGTCTGGGTGGAGCGCTTTGATGATATTGGTAGGTATAAAGTCTCTATTTGGCCCACCACCCCTCCTCTCATACTGTAATTTAAGACTAGCCCACTTCATAGATTATAGTCAGCCAGCAGGTTTATCCTCACAAAATATTTCAGTATAAAATACTTCATCTCTGCACTGTTAGTGCTTCTGTAAGAAGGTGTTTGCCAAATTATCAATGTGCATGAAAGTCTTAATTTCTCTGGTTTTTTTTTTTTGTTTTTTTGTTGGTTTTTTTAGAGAACTTCCCTTTGACCGACCTTTTAGCGGAAACCAGCACGGGCTTGGAAGCTAGCATGAGCAACAGCACTTCCTGCAGGTATTCACAGGTTTATGCTTAATGCACTTGCCTGCCGGTATAAAAAAACATGTGGTTTCTGAATTGGTTTTGGTCAGGTGCAAAAAGGAAGAACAAAAAAAAAACAACAATGCTGCAAAACCCAATGTGCAAAACAGGAAGTGCTATGCAGCAGGCAGAAAAGAGGAACTGTGGCAGAGCAGTGACAGCAGTTGTCAAGTGCCTTGAAAAAAAAATGAATTAAAAGCCTTTTTGTAAACATTGCTCCTTTGTTCACCATCAGCAGAATTACACAGTTATTTAAATAGACAGAGTACATACATTTGAAATGTAGCTATCATCTTATCCTATCTTTGCCTCCCTTTTCACTTTATTCGTAATGTTGCAGGTCGGGGTTACTAGAAAAAGACGTTCCTTTGATCTTCATCCACCCTCTGAAGACGGGACTCTTCAGGATCCGCTTGCATGGTGCTGTGGGTAAATTTGGCATGGTGATTCCTCTGGTGGATGGCATGGTGGTCAGCCGCAGAGCTCTTGGTAATTGCTCATTTATCTTCCACTTACTTAACTTGTCCATCCTTACCTTACCACACTTCAGCTTTTTTCATACATCACAAGGAATCATTTTCTCACTATTAATGCGCACGCATGAGTATTGCACAATGGATGTTTTTACTTGGAAATGCACAGGAAATAAACTCCCATTTAGAAAGTGTGTGGTGTTTCCCTCAGAAGTTCTGGTTTCTAATGTAAAAGTATTGCTCATCTGTGTTATCTAGTTGCATCACCAGGCTTTGAAAGAACCCATTTAAGGCATTTATTTAACTTTCCTGTGTTGATGAATAAGTTTAACTTTGGGGGGAAATAAAAAAAAGTCTTACTCTGTTGAATGTGCTGGAACTCTTGGCCAGCAGATGGCACAGTTAAGTGTTTTGGTTTTATCTGTGGCTCTACACTTTCACACATAATAATCTAAATCCACGTAACTCACATTGGCTGTGTCGCGTGTGAGTACTGATGAGCTTCTGTTTGTGTGTCTGCCTCTCAGGGTTCCTCGTGCGCCAAACGGTCATCAACGTATGCCGACGGAAGCGCCTGGAGAGCGACTTGTACAACCCTCCTCACGTGAGGCGGAAGCAGAAAATAACCGAAATTGTGCAGCGTTACCGCAACAAACAACTGGAGCCCGAGTTTTACACCTCGCTCTTCCATGAGGTGGGGGAGGGAAAGCCTCACCTCTAACCCTCCCCCCTCTCCCCCGTGTCCTGTCCTAACACTGGCACACAAGCGCACACAACAATACACACATGCACGCACACACCCCCGTTACTCTGTACTCATAAACCACCTACAACTGTGCTTGTACACACACAGACACACACACACATGCACACACAGAATCTTTATATTTATACTGTATAATTTTGTTATTTATATGAATACATATATCAACACTGTTTGCCTTTGACTCTTAGATCAAAGTGTCAAAAACCATGCCAAGGTGGGAAAAAACAAACGACATTTCTGTGTTGCGGCTACTCACTGAAGATCTGAACGGCTGAAGTTCAACAGTGAGCTTTGCTCCTCGTTTTTAGGTTCACGCTTTGTGGCAAAACAATTTCTGCTTGTCTTTAACCGCAATACAGTAGTTACACTGTTGGCCTTTCTGAACTTGTAAAAAGTTTGTCCATTGAACCTTGTAATATGAATGAACTTCAAGAGGTTTGGTAATACAGAGTTGTGTCCAAAATCCAGATCTGCTCATCTGTTTTTGTTTCTAACAGATTTATGGTTGGATTATTATTATTTTTTTTAGCCAAGGAGATAAACATCTTGTATCCACCTTAAAATGTCGTAAACACATATGTATATATAGCTTCAATGCAGGTAACTTAAAAGTTGACCCGTCATTGGATCTGACGACAGACTTCCTCGACGTTCACACACATACACACACATGCAGACACACACCCTGCTTTAGTCTTCCTAGTGTGAACGCACACTTGGCCACCGCAGCAGCTGACTAAGCACATGAGACGTTTATAGTTTTGTATCATTTTCTTCTGGCTTTCTTCTGTATGTAGACGTCATTTTTGACACTCGTGCTCTGTGCCAGACCATCCCATTGCACAGCTGCCACTACATTTTGTGTGTGCATGTGTGAGTGAGAGTGTGTGTGTGTACACAGCCACGTTTGCTTGTCCAGCCAGTCACTTGACACTACAAGGAGTCCGAGACCCCTAAAAGCCCAACACGTTGCATTTAAGGTTGAATCCTGTTACTTTAAGATATACAGTTTCAAAAATGCCACGACATACGTCGATCGCGACATTAGATTTTGGTTTACTCTTAATGCTTGGAAACACAAGAGTTTACTGATAGTGAGAGCGGCTACAGAGCTCCTGGAGTTTGCGCTTGATGTTTTCAGGCCTAATTTGAAATCACCACATTTTTAAGGTTGCAAGTATCTCATTACAAAGCAGAACCAGAGCACAGTTTTTAAGTGTCTCGCTCCTCCAAACAAAATCTATGTGATAGATTCAGAGGCCAAAATACTTGATGTAGCTAACAGGATTATGTGACTTTATTTTGGCTGATCAAAGCTGTATTTTGTTTCTTTTTCTCCTTTTCTTTTCTTTGGAAATGTAAACCCAGGAAGAGATAATATTTAACATGTCAGTTATCTTCAGTTTGGATTGCAGAAATGTGCACTTTTGCCTTCACAAATGTTATAATAATTTTTTTTAAAAGAAAATACAATTTCACTCTTATTTTTCTCACTGTACTTTTGGTTTTAATTCAAGCCCTCTCACTGTCTGCCTGTAACAATGTGAATTTATTTATCACAGAGATGGAGCAGGGCAAACACCTCTAGTTTCTTTTGTTATATTGGAAAGTCTTAATGCACTGAGCACATTTTTATGTTCATTTTATGTTTATTTTCTATTCTCTTTGGTTACCTTACATGTCCTCTTTTGTACTTTTGTGCATTTTTGGAAGAAAAACCCTGCTGAAGGAAGAGTTTTATCTTGTGAAATATGAATGAAGAGGACGCGTTGTGGAGTTTTTAAACCTGTCGTGTCTAATTGTGACTCACTTTTTATGACAGTGCTGTATGCACATGCCTTTTTCGGAAGGAAAGTACATACAATGAAAGACAAAGAAACTACATACAATGAGTCACACGTTGTATCCTGTAAGTCCTCTGAAGTTTGAGCATATTTAAGGATTTGCCATGTACAGAAGCAGAGGATAATATGTAAATATGTGATAGATCAAGGCATTTACAAGTTGTTGCATTCCTCATCTGAGATGGCAGAAAAAGATATGTATGTATGCGTTTTTTTTGTGTGTGGGAGGAACGCAATGGGTATTGAATGTAACATGCATCAATTAAAACTATTATTGACATTTTAATTTCCTTCCATTCATAATATTTGACTTTTTCTTCACAGGTTGAAATCTTTTTCCTCTTAATATTTTTTTAGATTCTATTCAGTGAGTTTCGTTCTGAAAGCAGATGTGTTTAGAACCTGTCAGATGAATTAGAATATTAACTGTGAATATTTGCACCGCCTGCAGAGTGAACCTGCCCTCTGGCGTGGACTGGGTCAGTCTGACTGCAAAGATACTTGAGGGATATTATCTGTAACCCAAGGCTGAGATAGTGACAGCCAATAAGCCTGTATGCCCTGAAGCTATGTTAAAATATTTATGTTCTGCAACTGAAAAAAACAAACCAAAAAAAAGGATTTGGTTAACAATATTGATAAATCCAGATTATGAAAAACAGCTTCTCTTCATAGTCTAGGCCTTTTTGGCACAGGTTTGAACCTTTAATTGCCAGCAAGGTGAATGGAGGATTACCATTTGAATTTGTATTGCATCAAAATACACACCTTTCGTAAACACGTGTTTAAAAAAAAAAAAAGCAAACGTTAGGAATTGCTGGGGAAATCAATGATGATATTAAAAAGTTAATTTTCTTGTATCAGAGCTTGTACACAGTTCCTGATGTCCCCCTGCCCATCCCGGACTTGAAAGTTGTATTTTTGCCTGCAACCACTTGAGGGCGCGTTTCTCCTATTAACGCACACTGAGACCCCGCGTGGGGATAGCACCTGTGACAGGCAGGGGGCCTAAATGAGCATTGTTATGGTAAATATTTGACATCAATGAAAGTCAAGACCTTTAAGGTTTTAGGATTACTGTCATATTTCGCATGGTTTCTCACACGTTGTATGTGTTTAGCTCACTAGTATCGTATTTGACTAAGAAGGAGAAACGCCAGCAAAGTTAAGAATACTTGTATGACTTGTACCTGTTAACCGTCTTCTACAAAGGCAGCTTAAAGTTCAGTATTTGTTTTAGGCGAGCTGCGTTTAGGTTATTTATAGTTTGTTGCCTTTGGGGCCCCTTTAGTACCATGGGAAATGGGATACTCGGGGAGTTTACTTAATAGTATCAGACTGTAGCGTGTACGCATTAAAAGCTACTGTGTCTGTAGCTCTCGGTGTCCAGAGCAGTAGTGAGCTCTCTCAGGCAGCGGGTCCCTCCCCCTCCTCCTCCCCTCTCTCCGCTTTGCTGCCTCGCTCGCTCGCTCTCAGCTGCTGCTGCTGCTGCTGTGACTGAGCTCACTCCGCCGGGCTCTCTGCTTGTTGTTTGGTACTTTTGGTGAACTTTTCTTCCAGTGTTTCGCAACAGTGCTCTGCGAGGTTTTCGGGAAAAACTTCCTAATGCAAAAATGGACTAAAGCAACGACCCGACAACGTGCGGATACTTAGGGGGAGAAAAAAAGGAGAGTATTTCTGTAGAGAGCGACCTTTCTGAGGGTTGAGTTACCGTCATGGAAGAGGACGACGGGCATCAGGAGAACGGTATCCCCGCAGCCAAGGACTCGGACCGACAGCAGCGGCTGAGGCTGTGTGTTTTAAATGAAATACTGAACACCGAGAGGGATTATGTTCGGACGTTGCTTTTCCTCCAGTCGGTAAGTTTGACATCCTCTCGCAAGTGTGTCTCCCGTACACTGGCAGAACGTGATGCCAAACTCTAGTTACAAATCTGTATATTAGCGGATGTTTTTTATTTATTTCCGAATGCACGCTCATCTCGTGTATTGTTCTAGATGTTTTTCCAATCCCCGGGCTACTGTTTTTAAATCGGCATACACAGAAAAAGATTAAGAAGCAGCCTTTGCAAGGAAAAAACAAAAGCAAAAAAGCAACCCACCCCAAAGATCTAATCTGATCTAACCTGTCAGATTAAACCACAATAAATTTGCATTCAGTTTGGCGTGATTCTGTGTCCACGCGGGCTGCTTGAACCTTTACTTCAGCGCTGTCTGTGAACGCTTCTTCTGTAGGAACGGGCTTGGGACGCGCAGTTGCCGTTTGCTGCTGTTTGCGGGGCTTTTAATCGCGACGCAGACTGCCGCTGACAGCTTTGTAAAAGACCTGCGTGCATCTGAGGCTACTGTTATCAATAAAAACTTTTGAGATGTTAAACCGTGTTTCTTGGGACGTCTGCGGGGACTCATACATATTTAGTGTTTTGAGAGGAGGGTGGTGGTGTTATTCTCACCTTTCCATTGTGTGTTAAAGCTCAAGCTTGAAACAAACAAAGGAAAGGAGAGCCCAGTTCGCACATGCATTTTTTTTTAAATACAAATAAATAGGTATTCATGAACATCACCCTGTCACGCCCCCTTTTTTCAGACAGCGATAAGAAACCGTTTGCTTATTCGCTCTTTGTACATCAGCTACCTCATGAATGAACGTCCTGGTAATTTTGCATGCTCCATTCAGCCGCCGAGCACAGCGCGAGTATAGATGGCACCCACCTGCAGGGGGACTATTCAATTTGTTACTTCCCCTTGTCATTTTCCGTTGGCCTTTCCTCCCCTCATCCCCGCCTTGTCATCTCTGGTAATTGTACAGTGAAGGTGGCTCCTGCCTCCAGCTGAGACTCATAACCACAGCGTGGTTAACTCCACCTCGCTGCATTTAATGTGATGACTATAATGTGACCTTACTTATTTTTCTTTTATATACAATGGCTTATTTGTCTGCTTCAGGGAAATTCCCACTGTCGTTGCCCCTTCCACATAAAGGTCAGCACAACTACGTCTATCTTTCTTTTGCACCCTGTCGACTCGATGGCAGACTTTGATTCTCATCATTTTCACTTTGCCTTTAAAAAACAGTTTATGGTGATATTGCGTTTCCTGGTGTTTTTTTTAACATTTCAACATATGACGCATTTTTGCTAAACAATGTCACGGTTCCCTCTTTCCTCTCTGCTGTCACGTGTTGAACTTCCTCAAAGTTCTTAAGGTGAGCGGTGCAGAAGGCTCACCGCACCGCCGTGTCATGCCATTCGTGGTGTATGGCATTTTCAGAGTTATACCTACGTAATATATCTTCACTGTTCTGTATCCAGCTCAACAGTGGACTCAATTGAGGCTTATCTTCTGTTGCAAGATGGCAAAGGGACATTCTTTGACCTCCCTCCACTCTCACCATGCACAATGGAAATGATGAAGTCTCAAAGGTTTATCAGGGAAGTCTGAACATCTGAAAACTGTCAGTGCTTTGTGCCCTTCGCCATACCCCGGCCTATCATCACGTGAGCTGGGAGTCTTTTGATTTAAGCCACATGGTGTTTAGCCTGAGGCAAGTGATATGGTCCGGCGTGTGTGATGTAATGTTATCTCCAGGGTCTTTTCATAGAATAGTCTCTATGCCCACTTCATGAGCCAGTGAGATTTTGTTTTAAAAGTAAATACTACCATTTGGCAACTACTCAATACAATCCAGCATCTTTTAAAAAAACATTTTTTAAATGCCAATCATATCCAGCGATGTTCTGTGCTGCAGAAACTGACAGGTTGGTTATTTGTATCATCTTGTTAACAAGTGTTTCTTTGGATCGAAATGCATGTCTGTGAATGCCTTCGTTAACAGTCATCTTCACGTGTGCACTAAAGAGGCCTGATGGCAAAACACACTGCTCCCCATTAACCTACATGCCACACTGTCCACTGAATTTTCACCTTGGGGTGGTGGACGGGTGATGAGGTGCTTACGCTGCTAAAGGCAAACATGAGGATCCAGAACAAAACGAGAAAAGAAGCCTCGCTCTCCACCACCTCCTCCATGGCCAATCCTTTGCGAATCCCCCCTTCCACCACCCAGTGTTTTCTGTCCAGGGTCCAGCTCGGCAGAAAACCCTCAGTGAGAACCCTTGCTGGGAGCCAAGGCTATGTCACCATGCAGCTCACTGTGGTGTTGATAAGGAAAAGTCTGGCTGTGGGAGCTCAGAACATGTGTTTCCAGTAAAGATACAGATAGGTATGGGCAGCCTATTTAAATAAAATGGTAATAAGTAGGGTTTTTGTTCAGCTTCTCAGCTTTTTCTCACCCTTCCTCATTGCTTAGATAACTCCCACATTTCCCAGAATGCAGCTCATTCACAGTGCATTGAATACTAATGCATTTTACTGTGTAATGAAAAGTGAATTTTGCCTGTGACTAGAACACAGCACAGTTTACGCTTGAACAGCTTTCAAGTCCAGGCATGCTATTGTCACACCACGTGTATTGAATTTAGTTTTGATTGTGTGAAACTCACACTAAGATGTGAATAATCTTAACCCTGTGAAGTCTATCTACCCCCCACCCCTTAACCTTATTTCCCTAGAAATAGGTTAGTTCCCCTCTGAATGTAGTGTTTGATTTACTTCTCATCATCAGTTATGACTTACTTAATTTTTCAGTGTACTGATTCTTTTTATGCATGTCAGCCTCTCTCTTATCTGTATCCGCTCGTGCTATGATTTTGTTTTCTGGTCTTGTTGAGGGTTTGATAGTACAGTAGCTGTTGACCATCTTCATCATCTGCATTGCCTTATCATTGATTTATTTTCCACCTCTCTTTATGCACTTTAACCCAGTGGAAAAAAAAAGGCCCTTAGCAGAGCAGCTTCTCAGCTGCAATGATTGCAATGACACACACACACAAAAAGAGATGGTTATCCGGCTTTGGCACCTCAGCCATTCTGCATGTCACTCATCCCTTGGCAATTACCAGCGCCAACAAGCTCATCCAATGTGCTGTAGGGAAGCGTGTGGGGATAGTGGTGAGGACAAGAGGTGAGAAGGGGGTTGGGGGAGTGTGAAAAGAGGGATTAGAGGATTCATTTTTCCCCCCTCACTGTTATCGCAGCAAATCTCTAAATCTATTAACTCTTTGAGCAGATCGGAAGCTGTCACATTTAACAAGCTGCTTCCTTTTTACGAAGATTGCTGTGCTCTTCAAGCATTTGTGGCGATGCGTTCCCTTGTTTGTTTGTGTGAAATAATCACATCCTAGCTCGATAGATTTATGGGACTTTTCTTCAGGGTATGGTTTAATCTGCGCAGCTGGATTTTCCCAGCCATGATGCACCAAAATACTAGGCTATCTGTGATAGGAATGTGGTCGGTGGCGTCATACCTGCTAGATGTGAGGGATTTTCCTTGAATGCCATGAATATGATTGGTTGTCATTTAGGACTGTTTTTCTTTTTGGACCAGGCTGACCCATGTCTCGGTGAATCCTGGAAATGAATGGCCGATAGTTTTTTTTTCTTGGCTTGTGACCTTCCTTCGTAATTCTGAAAAGTGAGTGATGGAAAAGAGTCGAGTGACCGCAGAGGTCCTGTCAGTGCTGCGGGATAATAGGAAACATCTGGAAGGACTGTGACCTTTACTTTGGGCCACACACAAGTGAGAGTACTCATCCGATGCTAACCCGCGCTGCCATGAAGAAGTGAAATTGTGTTTTGATGCTAGACTTTTTTTTTTTTTTTTTTTTACACCTCTTTGGCTGTAGCTGAGCAAACAGGATGACACGGGTATACACATCTTAGTGCTCACAAAGGTAAACATGCAGATAGACAACTCCAAGCTTCCCCCTGCAAGCACAAGCCTGTGTCTACCTTTTTCCTACTTTCCTATATAATGTCCATTCATATTCCTATTCCCCACCTTTTTCTTAATGTCCTAATGTCCATCTTTCTCTCTCTCGTTCGCTGTCCCTCCTTAGTTGTAAAGACCAGCATCAGATTTCTCTGGGCTTGGGCGTATAAATAGCTTAAGATTCTAGCTCTCGTCGTAGCCACAACACTGGTGGTTTCAGTTCACTGCAGCCTTTAGCTGAAGTCACACACACTCCACTCCACATATATGAGTGAGGGCATTGGGGGGCAGCCTGTGAAGACTGAACAGCAGGTAGAACAGTTACTGTGGCAGACAGCTGGGACTTTTTGAGGGTTTTTAATATTGTTGGGCTTTAAAAGCCCTGCTGGACAAACTTGGGAGTGTAGACAGTCTTCTTAGAGTCTTCTCATACAGCATGTAACTTGTAGGTTAATCAAACCTGTAAATAGTCAGTGCCTCCAAATGCAGCTGAATAATCAGTACATGCTTTGGCTTTTGTGCTAACTGTACTTCAGTTCATTACATAAGCTGCAAATTTTCATATAAATAAGGTTTCAAGCTGCTGCTGCTGTGCACCCATCAATCACAGTCTGGACAATTGGTACCTTGCAGCGCGGGTACTGTGCCAGACAAACTTATTGCAATGTCGGGGTGGTAAATGTCAGTTTCTGACTTAATCTCTGTGCTTTTTTTAGTCATGTGTTTTGATAAGCTATTTCTTTGAAGCATAAGACTGCAGCAGGAATTTAAAGTATTCAAGTTAACAAGTCTAAACCACTGTAACACCCAGAGGCATGATGCAAAAGCAAAGAAAAGCTTCCTTCTCTTTCCGAGAGATGCTTGCAGATTATCAGAAGAAATCCCTTTTTACTATATCCAAGAATTTTCTCTCTTAGTAGTAGCATTTTAAGAAGTGGAGCTATTCAGGAGTGTGTCCTTTCAAATCTGTGATCTACAGAGGTCGGTAGCATTTCATCAGTTTGCATATCAATGTGTCTGATATCAGATC